TAGATTGACGTTTGTACGTACTTATCGCTTTTGTGTCTATCTTCAAACTTTTTTTGTCACGGCTTTCAAACTCATACTTGACCAGCAATTCCTTATTGTCCAGTCGTTGCAATTAATAATGTAGCTACTACTATTATTACAGATATAAAACTTAGAATAATAAAGTAAAACAAACATGGCTATGATCAATTTATTAGTGTAATGATCATATTAGTTATTATGAAATGAAATGAAAATATCTTTATTCAAGAAGGCTATTACAAGCACTTGGAATGGCAAGTTTATTTTTATTTCTACTTTTTTTTGTGAAGGAATCGTAATGTTTTCTTGCGTACATAATATTTTCATTGATGTATTGAGAGGCAACAGTCAAAATATTTATTTCTTTAAATATTTCTCTGAGAGATTCTCTAGACCGTAAATTATATATAGCGTGGACAGCTCTCTTTTGTAGAATAAAAATATCTTGAATGCTAGCCGCAGAACCCCATAACAATAGATTATACGTCATTCATTACACTATGAAAATAACTAAAATATACCAATCTTGCCGTTTCAACATTTGTTAAGAGTCTAATTTTCTTAACAGCAAATGCTGCAGAACTCAGTCTACTTGACAAATTATCAATATACCAAAATACCAAGGAACTTTGTCGATTCCACCATCTCAACTTTTTCACTATTTACATTTATAAGTATATTAACATGCCTCACATTAGGTAATGCAAACTTTATGTATTTCGTTTTATTTGAATAAAGCTTTAAATAATTACTATCAAACCACTGTAGAAAATTGTCGAACTGAATTACATTGAACTGTTTCATGACAAAATTTAAAGCTCTTATTTTATCAACTAATATGTCACATCACTAATATGCACAATCGGAATGATACCAGTAAGAAAAAAATACAAATTAGGCTTAATGTAATTAATACAAAAATTCTTATGTTTTCTTAATTTTTGTTTTTTTTTTACACTTTCCCTCGCTTAATTATATTACTCCACAGACATACGATAGAGTGTATCATTAAGTTTTTTTAGTTTTTGTACTGCGTTTTTTAAAAGATATTTTAATAAATTATGTAGGGAAAAGCCTTAATTTTTCAGTATTCACTTGGTTACAGCAAAATCTAATATTAATAGTTCGCACATAAAATGATGACCCCAATTTTTTTAAATGTGCATAATCTTAAAATATTTTTTTCCTTCTGGTATCCCCATATACAGCCACGTAACAGTTCAACATTCATGTTAAAGTAAATTATTTATTATCACGTTGAATTAGAGTTTGTTTTTAATCGTGTGATTTCTTAGCTTAGTATCTTTTTGGGATTTGATTTATGTTATCGCGAACCTATCGCGTGGCGGTTTTTCATGTAGTGAACAAAATGATCATTTCATCTAATCTGTATTTGTGTGCGGAGAGGCGACACTCGGTTCCCATACTAAATTAATATCATTATACTTCTAATCTCTCTCTATGTTCTGTGGATAATATCGTCAACGAAAGCAATCGTCGTTGTGTGTTTTGCATATTTTTACTTTTGTGTATTTAATACGTACCTACATTACATTAAAACTAATCCTTACTATACCGAAACTTTTTTTGTCTGTACTTTGGGATAGATATTTGCGGAGAAGCTTGTGGAGAAGCGGAGAAGGAGAAGAATCGTTTGTCCGTGCTATTAACTAGTTAGAATTACAATCTATTTTGCCTTTAGCTTTAAACTTATACAAAACACAGCATGACAATTGTCAAAGAAGGACAATTGGAAAAAAGTATGTTTAGTTACATATTGAAAAAAATTGGTAGAATTAATGCTTATTGAATACCTATGTCTAAAATTCTTTTGATATAGATGATCAAAATGTGTATCTAGAAATGTTAGATGTAGGTAACAAGAGGATAACTATAGGAATAATGAAATCAGACTTTGTTTGCTCAAAAGATTTTCCCTGTGAATAGGATATGTCGATAATATTTTATTGATGGGAACGCAAACAGTTCTTTAGTTACGTGCGGGGGTGGTTACTGATAATCCTTTGTTTGTTTTGTATTTATAGCATCTGATTTTTATGCTGTAAATTTAGAAATACTATTTATAGAAACTTTTCGTAATCCCTAAAGTGTGTTTATATTCAAATATAATATATAATATTATTGCGTTCAGTAGCAATTACTTGTTGCTCACTAGCGAAAATTTACGGTTTCGAATTTGATGCGACTCCTTGAGACGGTAGAACTTTTTATGTAAATGTCTCGGGTCTGAGCAAAGTATAATATATTGTATGGTATTTATTTATTGTTTGATTATCAATTATATTTTAAAGATTAGGGTTATATTATTCCATAATATTAGACCTTGATGGTTATTTTTATTTTTAATGTCATGAACTATTGTAGTTGTTAAGTTAAGGTTTGGTAAAATGTTTACAGACTTTTGGTGACGTAATCATTAAAGTTAAATCGACCTTGTTGTGTAACCTGGCAACGAAGCCGTCAGACAGGGTTCAAGGGCGGGCGGGCGGAGCGCATATAGGGTTGTCATCTGTTCGTGTATAATTTACTTTTTTAGATCGTATCCGGCTATTTCCGACGTCGAAGGCTTTTATTATTAGGTATTTTGTTAATGCAAGTTATACAAGACGCATTAAGGACGAGATAGTGGCGACGACTACAGTGCTATTCTTTATCATAATTATAAAAGTTATGTCTAAAATTTAAAACGTAGCTAAATTAGATAAAGTCCAAATTTTATGGCAAAATATCAGCCTTAATAATACAGACCTTTATGATAACAGCCTTCTTTAAGACAGGAAAAATGCAACCTCATGTTTCAAATCAAGAATCCAACCATCAAGATCTCAGAAGCGATATCCGAAAGTTTGGTTGTCATACCTTGTAAAATTTGCTGCTGCATACCCTCGCGTTTGGGGAAGGTTTCGAGGTCCAGATCAGAGGGTGTCCGATCCAACCAAGATGGCAACCCTAGCAGCATTGAACATTTGTTCCATTTATTATATTACCTAGATATCGTTTTAATCTACACGCTACAATCAATAGGAGTGTACCAAAGACTTGTATGTTGATTGCTAGTATACGTTTCATATTTACTAGTAGTTATTGGTTTTCTTATTGAATGTGATTATTACTCCATATGAGGTCACCATAGACGACAGTAAAATTTTTCGTACATATACTACATGTAAATGTACGTTTATATATTTCTAGAGTAGTAATCGTGACGATTTTTATATATTAGGGTGAACATTTTATTTCGTGCAAATCGGCCATTTTGGAGAACGCAAGAAAATTGTGCCGATAAACTTTCTTTCATGATTTATTTAAAAGCTGGTGAATTTTCTATTATAAAAATGTTGAAGGGATAGCAATCGGATGTTAAACTTACGAGATATTGGGTCTTAAACATTTTCAATAAATGGTAATGAGATAACACGGTAATGGTAATTAGATATTCCAGAATAGTAACGAGCTATATAGAAATGGTAATTAGAAATAAATAATGTATAAGAAAATTAGGCTTTAATTTATTTTTATATCTTTTATATTAATACAGTTATTATTCGTAGTACCCAGAACTCTTTAAGCCATTTGATCAAAGTAATTAAATGTATTTCTGTTGTTATTTAAGGTAAACTGTTAGTATGCTATCTATATAAAATAGCCTTTTTAATTTATTATTTTTGTTAAATGACTTAAATTATGTATAATTTTTAATTAACCTATTCATAATTTGTAATAATTAAATAATAAAGAAATTAATCATATCTAGATGTGAAACGTCATGATTTTTTAATTTCAAACTTTCTTTTAATGTTAATAGATGGTACTAGTGCTCTCCTTCGTTTTAATTTATTGTATGTACTTAGTTCTTCGGATAATAAATTGATACAAAGGGGATAAAGATCTGAAGGGAGTAGGCCTTTTTTGTTTCTCCACAAACAAAAATTCGGAAAATGTTGAATCGTTTTTAATACTTAATTTTGATTAAATCAAATCAGTACAGAATATTTTTGCATCAGAGGCAGTGTTAGGTACTATGGTATATCATAAATTATTGAAAAATTGGATTCTTTGAAGGCATATCAGCGTATTGAAAATAGACAATATTTCGTTTTCGGATAATTAAAGTACGCTTTCCGCTGCTGAAAATAAATATTATGTATTACTCCAGTCATTAAAATTCCAAGCAAAAAAAAATATTTGCTCTATAATATTTTTGTGGTTTGGTGGCTTTAATAATTGGATTGCGAAAATGGAGGTCGAAAGATTGGAAATAGAATTGCCATCAATATATTATTTTATAGCGGAGATTGGGGTGGTTTCATGCGGCCTTATCAAAATGCCTTTAGATAAACTGCTGGCTTGATAAATTTGCCCGCCAACATGAGGTGACTTTAGGCATTAGGTATTATTTAAGGATATTCTAACGGTATCTCTTGTTGTGTTACGTTAAAATTGATGGTCATCTCAGTATAACAATTTTACTAATATTACTATAACACGGTTATTAATAGACAAAGTTTTCGATATATATGAATATTTTCAGTAACCAATTAACATTGCATGATGTATTTTTAATACAACTTTAATACAACAATGAGACCGAATGAAAATTGTCGTTGTTTACAATTTTACGGTGACATATTACATTATTTTAACATAAGTTCGAATTATTATATTTGATCCATAATGCATTCACAATGCTATACTGGAAATATTTTAAATGAAGAATGCTTAAAAATCTACTTTGTTTCTGTCAATGCCATACCGAAGCATTTTTTACCATTAAGAATATAAGTTCTGATGTTAGAGTAACCATAAATAATACTCTAATAATATACCTAACATTTGTTATATCTAGAAACAGACGAGAAGATATTACCGCATATTTATTCTCGTATCAATAATAAATTATTAGAGAGATGGAAAATTACTAGGAGTGCGCAATAAAGTGGCTATAACAATTGCGTATTATGGAGTTGTTGACTCCTAATCTATTTGGTCGGGTTATTATGACGGATCGTCAAAGAAAAACGGATAATAGGGTGGATCCGGACAATGAGTTAGCTATGAAGGTGTCATTAAGTGCTTGCGTTTGGACGACTTTTATGGATGAAGGGAAACACATTTACCTAAGTAAGGCACTATAGCCGAGGTATAAGATAACTTGAAGTAGAAGACGTTAAGCTGTGTTCACCGACGTTCAATTTGTATTACAAATTTGCTTTTGCTTTTCGGCTGGTTCTGCTGGTCGGAAAATTTTGTTTTTTAAATCCCGAGAACAAATCAAAAAATGTTGGAACATACTGAATTTTGAAGGTTTAAAAAAATTAGAGAATATATTGCCGCTCCCCAAATATAAGCGCCTAGTTCGCTTAAATGGACGAGCCGGCCCTGCCAAAACGGTAGTTGAAAGCTAGGTAATAAATACTGTTAGGTAATCAATCTTGGCTTATAACTAAGCTTTGTTTCTAAGCAAACCTTTTTAGGGAATTAGCTTTGTTAAATTAGTTAAGCATGTTACGAATCACCACGACACAACAGTTAAGCGCGTCATAGAGCCGGCCATCGATTTTTCGACGAACAAAAAAATGCACACCTTTAATATCTATTTATGCTCTATTTATGCAATGCATTTATGTTTTTAATATATTTTTTACAGATACACTATCGGTCCACTATTGCAATAGAGAAGTGCAAGTGGCGGTATCCGGAGAGGACAGCGAGGGATATATCCGAACGCCCGGGTATCCGAACTTTTACGTTGGCGACGTGTGTCGGTGGCGCTTACGTGCGAGTCCAGAACAACATATACGCGTCACGCTCCTAGATGTTAGTTTGAGAAGTAAGTTCATAGAAAATGAGTGAAAGTTTCAATAAATAAAAAAAAAACAATCGGAGTATTCATCTCGTCTTTTGTATTATTATATAATGCAGTTCAATGCTATGTATTTTCCAATTGATTATTTTTTGCGAGGCCGGGTGAGATATACTTACCTTCTTTTTTTTTAAACAGCGATGATTTACCTGCGTCTGAAAATCAGCGTAATAACGACAAGATTTTGTCGTTGTGACATATGCTCAGCCTGAAACATTTTCCCCATTGGGGCACTGTTATTTTTTTATTCGGTCTTGCTTTGTTAAAACATTCATCCACTCTGGTTGTTAATGAATAAATTAATACCTTGCAAATAACTTTAATTGACTGATTAATTCAATATTATACTTATTATTTTATTGTTTATGTAATACAATAGTAGAAGTAAAATTAGATAAGTGCATGTCCTATATAGTAATAAATATGTAATTATCAATTGCAATGGATCACAGTAGTAGGAAATAGAATTCTCTGGCATAAATAATATTTCTAGATGATTTTTCTTCTTTTCAGTACAAAATATATGGTAAAGGTTTGGTTTTTCCTCTAATATTTAGTACTTATTACTTAAATATTCTTTTGGTCCTCACGTGAAATGTAGAGACTTTGTAATATTAAGTTTTTTTGCTCGATCTATAATCCTATTTGAAACTTATCGACGGTTGTGATAATTTGAAAAAAGTTTTTCTATTTAATTTAATTCTACGCTTTTCATTTTCTTTCAAATCGACTTTATCTTTCATAACGATTATTGTTTTAAATGTTCATGATTACATCCTTATTTGTAAAAGTGTGCTTAATGAAATTCGTTCCAATTCACAGGAACAAGGCGTGTTTTTGTTTAGATACTTACATTAATTCGACCAATTAAATTTTAACTCTACATCTACCCTTTACTACTTTTACGAATTATTTGGTGCTTTAAATTAAACCTTTATAAGGGATAAACGGGTTACGAAACCAAATAAAAAACCTTTGATGCAGATCTATACCTCAATATTGGTGGGAGGGTCGGAATTGAGGATAACTTAATCGATTATATCGTGTGTAAACATATCGAGAAGAGGTTTCAAAGGTTTATAATAAAACCAGCCAGGGTTCCGTACCATTACCTATTAAAAAAATCACGTTTGTTGATTTCTATGAAGTTGTTCGAAATTTTCGACATATACACTTGTAAAGCTTACTTTCATAAATGTGATAGTTTTCCTTTTTACTTCGTTATATATAGTTACTACTGTCATAACATTTGGATTTTTACCAAAGATCGTTTAGTTGGTTTAATAAGTCACAAACGGTGTACTAAATCGAAAAACGGCCTACCCACACCCGAAATGTTTTAGAAAGACCTATCCAAAGACGCCCCACACTATAAAGATGATGAAGAAAAATATTATATCCACTTTAATTTATTTTACCACTATTTTCGCCTGATCAACCATGCCAAATTATAACTTTCTAGTACCAATGGTTTTTGAGCTAGACCATGGACGGACGGGCGGACGAACGGACAGACAGACATGGCGAAAGAAATAACAAGGGTTTCTTGTTTACTAGGAAAACTTTTAAAAATGTGTTCTTTACATGTTTTGTAGAGATAAAAATATTTGCATATTACACTCATATAGAAAGTTTAATTTCAAAAAGAAATTATTACTACTCTTATCATCACCATCATCAGCCTATTAATATCTCAACTGCTGGAACACACCCTTTCTATGGATGTAATCGAATCAAATAATGGTCCATAACCCCCCACGCGGGCCCATTGCAGATTTATGGGCGTTAACGACGGCAGATACAGCCGAGATCAACAGCTTATGTTCGTCACTTTTGGGGGCTATGTTTCATGTGGAACTAAAAGATCTATTGTAATTCGCCAGAACTATAGCAGCTCTTTCAGATTGGTAGTCTCCAAAAAGTCTATGATATTCCTTTGCCTTTGAAAGTTTTATTTCTTCTAGGTTGATTATGTATTGTCCCAGATGTATGCTTCATTTGTTGATCAGAGCATGGAGCCTCCGAAAGCACGGAGGAGCTCCAGATAGTAAATTTTTGGCCATCCATCTCCCATTCGTTTCATTATTTTTATTTTGTTCGAATTTATTAAATATAAAGGTTTATATTATGATTTCAGTATGTAGAGTTGTTCTATCTATTTGATCCCGATCATAGGGAAGCAGTGAGTTTTGATAATATAATAGGATAATAGTCATTGGCTAATATGATTATGTAGAGTCGGTTTACTTTTTTTATTCTTTTACAGGCGTAGGGCCGTTCGAAGACTCATGCGTAGATTACGTATCGGTGCAAGATTCAAATGGTGACTCCATGCTGTCATCTTGTGAGCAAGTCGACTTGCCACTCAGATTGACAGCTGCAACAAATGTTGTGGATGTGCTAGTTGAAGCAAAATCCAAGGGTGCTTATCCTAAAAGAGGGGTGTTGCTGCATTATAAAAGTAAGTTATGAAATCTATGTAATTTATGTTGAACGAATGTGTAAAGTTAACAATGAATTTGAGAATGACAAAACAACTCAATTGTGACATCTACGAAATTTTAATAAAAGCTCTACTTGTCGTAGGTATTGGATGCGTTACGCTGCCAGCGCCATCTAACGGCTACCTAGTGTATCGCAATGAAGAGGTGGCGCACTACATGTGTAATGTAAACCACGTTTTCATTGATACTCGCCAGAGGGCGCGGTTGTTGTGGTGCTATGATGACAATAGATGGAATGACACAGTGCCTTTCTGCATCGGTAAGAATTTATGTACACATACAATATTACTTTGATGATTAAAAATCCGACTACCTTTTTACAGTATTTGAGAAAACGTAAAAAAAATATTGTATTTGGCGCCAGCAGTAAATTTATGTAGGGGTTGTATAAAATAAAATCGGCTGTTAAAAAATCTTCAAAAGGGAGGTAATAAAGTTGCCATAAAAACCGCCGTTAAATGTGCACCACATCGTAGAACTTGTCGATAACAACATAAAAACTTCTTTTGAGGTTATTTAAGGGTGATCAAAGGAGAGCCATGCACATGCGCGAGTATAGTTGCTCTCTCTATCGCACGAACAACTCCATCATAGAAAGAAAGGAGCAGCATGATAAGTGTCGCTCACAACATGATTATTTACATGCTGTCAGTAACCAAAGTGAATTTACGCCTTAAAACAAAAGCGATAGGGTCGATTTTATATTACCTTTGGTTGTTATTATTTTCAACGTGTAAAAGGACTCTGTTCAGTCGCGTTTTTGGTAAATAGACGATTATTCTGCGTTTGGTCTCCGCTGCGTTCGAGCGATTGTTCCAAATTCAAACGTTTGTCATTCGCGCGTCAGGAAGACACGTGTTTTGAAGTGAGTTTCTTGGCAAAGTTGGAAGTTGAAAATATCCAATTTATTATTTTTTCTGTTATTTTCCAGCGATTTTGTTTAGTTTTCAGTGGTTTTTATAGTGATGTTTTGAAGGAATACATAACGCCTCGTGGTCGGGTGAGCTTTTATAAGTTTCGCAACTTGTGAAGTTTTCTTTTTATATGAAGGGTTATTTTACATAAGAAGTAAGAGCATACATTTTTATTTATAAAATAATAATCTTCAATCTCAATTATCCTTACATTAAACTTAGAAACATACCTTTAAATATTAACGTTATTAAATTATGAATTCTTTTATGAAGTATTACATAATTTTTTATGATAAGAACACGCTTAGGAACAAAATATCTAAACATTGATAATGAATTATAGGTATTTTACGCAAATATATTTCGATTAGATATCGGTACCGATTCTCTTCAGATTAAACACAGATCTTTTAATTTAATTTTTGTTTACTTTAAAAATAAATCATCATCATCATCAATAGTGACAATAGAAATGTGAATTTTAATCATTTGTTAAATATGTTTGTCTAATGCTATATTTATTAATAATATTTCTTATTATATTATATGTATAAAAATATAGACTTGATTTTAATTTTTGTCTTAAGAAACGTTTATGTAACGGTTGCTTCTTTTTTCATTCAAAAACATTTTCAAAAAACAAAACGGACTTCAAATTTAAAAAGAGTAGAAAATAATACTTATCTTAAATTCAGTTAAATTTTTTAAGATGCATTCAAGTCGGTCTGAGGTTTTTTGTAGTTTAATAAATATTAACCGCCCATCTTCTATGTTTCTTAAAAAATTTAACCACTATTAAGATAAGTAAATAATAATTTTAAATTTCTTAAATTTGAAGTCGAACCTGTTTTTTGAAAAATGTTTTTTTTTTTCATTATTTTTAGTGATATAAACTTTATATAAATATTTTGTATATTATTAAAATATTAAATATCTATATAAAAGAAATTATATTTACAAAGAAATTCTTGAAATTTTTATTTATTTGTATAGTACAATAACAACAAAAACATTGATGAACATACTTACTTGCATAAAAATACAATTTATGTTTTTATTTTATCGATAGTTCAATAGAAATAGGGTAACCTGAGGTAATATGAAGTAACTCTATATGACAACCAAAGAGTAAAATATATAGCAGAACTTTACTTACTTTAGAATAGAACTTTAAACTTCTTTACTTATTAATGGCTTATGGCATTTCGCGAAATTCTGCCAATGCCAATTAAATAAATTAATATCTACATGTAAAATGAAAATGAAATGAGTGAAAGATCGATGACGATCGTAACTAGTGTTGCCAGGTGTCCCGATTTACGCGGGACGTCACGATTTTCAGGGGTCCGGGGACGCGTCTCGATTTGTACCTAATCGGGACGCTAAATGTCCCGAAAAATCAAGTATTTTTATAAAAAATATATATATATATATTTTCATACTGTCAAATCCATTTTTGAAAGCCCCTAACTATATTTATCTATGTCTGAAAGCAAAAAAGCTACCAAACTAGTACTAATACTTGTTTTTTTGTCTGTCCCGATTTACAACTCCAAATCCCGATTAATTACACGCGCTGTCCCGATTAATAATAAATTGGACCTGGCAACACTAATCGTAACCTCAAAACTTATTATAATTCATCTGAGCTTATTTCAAAATCAACAAAGAGTTTTTACTTAAAGAAATAAAAAAGTATATTCTATGTCCAAAAAGGATATAAGGGAAAAGGATATTATTCATGTTTACACGTTGAATATAGAAATCTTTTTCTTTTTCTCTGTTATAAACATGAAATCACAATATTGAGGTGACATCTGATGAAAAGCGTATTTTGCTTTATAATAAAAAGAAAATTTTGATTCGATTTGAATAAAGAAAAAATTTGATTTGAATAACAAAAATTATTTTGAAAATCGATTTATAATTGACTGTGTAACGGCGTAACAAACACACAAAAAAATATACAGTCGAATTGAGAACTTCCTCCTTCGCCTTTCCTGTGAAATGTCCTACGGTCTTATTAAATAATAAATTTAGTTTTCAAACATAAGTAGGTACCTTTTTTGTATAACGATAGGTTTATAAAACCTGAAAGAAGAAGAAGAAAAACAGAAGAACATGAATAAACTATGTGAAAGATAATTTATGATTTTAATTTTTAATGATTTTATTTTTAAAAAGAAAATTTATGATTTGATATTAATAGTGTAGGTACTAAATAATGTTATAATTTAACGTAGGTAGGAATAGGTATTTTTAAATCAATATAAAATATAAAATTTTACTTTTATCATTTCGATTGCCATTGAATTGGTATTAAGAACGAGATAAAATCGTCACATCCTCTGTATTACAGCGTAGATATCATAATAAAATAACAACGTTTTTATTAAATTACAATTCCTAAAGGCACCTTTGAAGTGATTCGGCGTAGACTGTAAAACTTAAAAAAAAACAAGAGATCAGTCATGATTGAAAAATATACATATCTATTATATTCATCGATCTTCACTACAAAAAATATGGTTATTACAAGAATTAAACTTTGTTCAAATTTACATACACGTTACTTAGGGGCCGTCTATTAATCACGTGATGTTTTTTTAGCACATTTAACCCTCTTGGTGGTACACGGTGAGGTTAAGATTAGCCTCCCTGCCTTCCACCCAAATCAGGTGTATTTTTTAGTACCTACAAAATAGTCTTAATTTTAACGCCGCTTTTCGGTTTAGTAATCGCGCGTTTTAAGTAAAAATAAATACACGTGATATATAACTACACCCTCCCCCTTGTGATATTTCGTCATATTTGACGACCACCCCTGGATGGCCCCTTATCGAGCTAAAGTAGCTAAGAGAGCGACTAAAACCTGTCTGTGGTTTTAATCAGAAATCTTGCTTATGTAAAAAAATGGCTACCTCATTTATTTTCTTCGTAATTCATCTAATATTAGTGTTTTGTTTTATACGCTCTACTAAAGTCGAAGTGACTCCTTTATATTCATAAAAATTTAAATGCTTCCTTTATAGACGAGAAACTTTTTGCTATTCTTACGAATAATTTGCATTGTTATTCCTAAGGAACTTTTTGCTGGATGCAAAGTATCTAAGTTCTATGTTTACTTGACCTGTACAAAACTCTAATGTAACGTAATAAAAGTTACATTTTCTATTTTTCGGAAACTTATTTAATTCAGTATAAACTTTATTATTGACAGGCAAAATCTTTTGTCATCAAATTTAGATACATATCACAGGTTAAGCTTGACAAGATTTTAGCGGCTCAAGTTTTAGCGATTAAAAATGTATGACTTGCCGCCATTTTGTAAAGTGCATGACTGAGTAGCTCATTAGTTCGTCGAACGAAAATTCGGAGTATTCTTATAATTTTGTTAGAATCATATACATATGTGAAGATTGTCAGTGCATCAGAGGCAGAGTTAGGTCCTATCTCAGTTCCATTACAAATTAACGGAAATTTCGTTTCTTTGGAGTCGTAATAGGATTTCGAAAATTGATGAAATTCCGTTTTCGGAGAAATAGAATAGGTCGTCAGGTGTCATGTTAATTCGTACGAGTAGTACCTATAGTCTCTATAATATTTTTGGAGTTCAGTTAATATGCCAAATACTACATCAGTTATTCTATTTCTTATTAGATATTTTTACAATTATGAAGATTTAACAGTTTTCAATGCTGAACTGAAGATGTTATATAAACGTGGAAATTCATTTGTTGGCGAATTACACCTGAAATTAATTGCGTTAATAAAATAAAACGTCTAGCTTGGTGACTTTAGAATGACATATATATATATTTTGTTTTATGAAAGATTACAATAAAAAGTAAAAAAGGTATTTAACCTCCTTTATCGGCAACATACTTATTATACTGATTCTATACTAAGTAATTAGCACTTTAGGTTATCGTTATTGATCGTTTAGGTACAGTCATTTTTAACGAGTGATTTAAAATATACTCGATGCTTTTGAAAAAAAGAGAGCTTAAATAGAAAAGAACAACGCCGCAAACCCATCAATCACTAGCAAAGCGGATCAGTGTGGATGGATGGGAATTATTCTTTAGGTTTTGAACACCCAGTTGGACTTTATGCGGGTCAGCCTGTTGTTCACAGCAGCATATAGACCGAAATGTTATAGCTTAATTAAAGTTAACTCAGTCGAGAAGTGAAACACAAGAATTGTGACGATAATTTGGATTCATCATCAATATTATGTATCTATATTTGTTTTATTGTATATTTGTTGTATATATATATTTATTTGGTTGTATGTTCGTATATATTTGTACGTCAGTTTTAAATGTAATAATATATTTGTTAGTTTCTTCTTTTGTCTAAGCATACTTATGAAATTTTGCTTTATGCCGCAAGCGCGTTTATCGTTTTTCTAAAGGTTGACTGGGAGAAAATGCTATTGGCATTGCTATTGAAAAATGTCATGATCAGTTCTATAGTTTCGATACCTATTCAATGCAAATAAACAAACGTAGCTCGGTTGCGTAGTGGATAAGCACAGAAATAAATCTAGTTAGAAGGAAAATGTTCGTCGATTTATATGGAGACCGAGCGTGCCACATTTTGTGTAGGTATCATGACGTCACGATCTTAATTTAGTGATGGAAGACATAATTTCACTTGCATCAAATACATGTTGTATTTGAAACGGCATACCGATTCTTATCGATTGGAAAAACGATATCGATCGACAGAGACCAACGTGTACAGTCTGTCTATAAAGTCATGAAAAGAATGTTTGAGGAACTAACATTAGACACAATGAAAGTACATCGACTGTCAACAACTTGATTTTTTAGCTCGATTTTCTGCATTTTTGATTTGTTTTGATTAAACTGAAGCTACTTCTTCTAAACTCCGTCGAAAAGTGTTAAAAATGAAGAGAATTAATCAGAGTGAAGCTCAGGATATTATTT